AACGGCTCCAGGCGCTTTTTTAATCCACATGTCGAGGCCTGTCAGGAAGGCCCACAGGCTGGCTTGTGCTTCCCGAACGCGTGGTGCATACTCGCTCTGCTTCCAGAAGTCCTCGTCGGAGGCCCCACGTCTTTGCGCCATGAGCAGCTTCGCTGTGGCCAGGAAGACGTCCTCCTTTGCGGGCTCGATGAGGTCCACCATGCGCTCAACCAAAGCCGTGGACGGCAAGCCGCCGTGCTGTTGTGTGCACGCCGCCCGGAGCGGCAAAAAGTCTTGCATCGGAAGGAATTTGGCCAGCATTGATGGAAGCTGCGGGAAAATGGCAGTTAATGACTGCACTGGCAGCTGTTGTGTGAAATCACGATTGGGCCCATTGCCCTCGTCAGCCACCTCGTCCATGTCCTCGACCTCCATGAGCGCATCGCGCGGGTGCAGACTCATGCGGGCGTCGTGGACGAAGTCGTCGAACTCCGCATCAAAGGGAAGGGATGCTGGATCACGGGGGGGCCACTCGCGACTTTGCGCTTGCGGCACGCCATGGGCAACATCCACAAACTCCACGTATTCCAGCAACCTCTCTTCGCTAAGCTCTCCTTCGTCGGCAACGCAGGAGCCGACACCACAGTTCCCCATGAGGCTTGGGAGTGCCCAACTACTGAAGGACGGCTCAGCTGCAGCTGGGCATGTGTGTAGCTCACGCTTGTGGGTTTCCTAAAGACCTGGTGCCCCTTGGAAATCGAAGTGGATGCCAAAAGAATCTGGCTACAGGAAACCCAGTGCAAGCTAACTGCTTGTGAGTTGCGGTGGGAACGGCCTTGCGGCAATGGCATAAGCGGCTTCGAAATAGGAATCCGCTCCGAGGCCAGAGGCCCAGGCGTAGGGTTTAGGGTTTAGGGTTTAGGGTTTAGGGTTTAGGGTTTAGAGTTTAGGGTTTAGGGTTCAAGTACCCTCCACCTAATCCTCCTCCCTCCCTGCAGCCGAAATGGCCCACCCGCTTTTTTTGCGTCCATTTTCCACCCCCTCGCCCGGCTTCCCTTGATTTTACCTGACTTGTTGGCCTTTGCCTGCTCGACCCCCTCAGTTTTTGCTGGTTTTTTGGCGTTCTTTGTGGCTCCTTGCCCTCCCCTACGGTTTAGGGTTTAGGGTTTAGGGTTTAGGGTCCCCTCCTGCCCCCCCCCTCCCCTCCCACAGATCCGGGTTGCTTGCTGAGGTCAACCCCTCGACACGGGTTTGGAGGGATTTCAGCCGGCTGAAATGCTGTGAAAAAGGGTTTCGACTAAGTCCAGAGGGAGAAGGCTGGACCCCATTTCAGCCGGCAGAAATCCTTGGCCCAGGCTCCGAAAAACCGAGGCTGATGCTGGCTGAAATCCTTGCGGGGTACAAGGATTTCAGCCTGAATTCCTTTTGTAGCTGGCTGAATTTGGGCTGAGGGGTTAAGGATTTCAGCCAGGAGCAAGCAAGGGAGATAGCACAGCTTGGGACCAGCTTGGCTCAGGTAGCAGCCAGGTAACATTTGAAGAAGCGATTAGTGCAGTGGGCAGGCGTCTTGGGGGTTACCTCAAGTACCCTCCACCTAATCCTCCTCCCTGCAGTCCAAGCAGTTGGAACCACCCATTTTCCACCCCCAGTAGACTACCCATGCAAAGCCGCAGCTTTCCGTGCCTTCTGGCCCTCAGCAGCCGAGGCGGGCGGCGTAGCGTTAAAATTATATTCTCCTCCTGTATGCGCATGAACGATGTGGCTCAGCTGTGTGTCAAAAGCGATCTGATGGGGATTCGAAGTCTTCTATGGATGAGTGTCCGGTCGCTTAGCATGAGACACTGCCACTGGAAGACTCATGTAGAGTAGATACAGATACTTTTCTAGGTTGTGAAACCTCGGTTAAGCAACAGTGGCCCGGCACTGCCTCATTATTGCAGTGTCGCCCACCGATGCACCCAAGACTCCAGCACGACCTTTACACCCCGAAAATCTACTTCAAGGATCATTGGAGGCCACACAGCCGTAAACTTGCCAGGTTCGCATGCGCAAGTCCAGCGGGCCGTCCTGCATTCACATTGGCACATGGAGACCAATGAGTCTGGTTTAGGGTCTAGGGTTTAGGGGGTTAGGGTTTAGGGTTTAGGGTGTAGTGTAGGCCGGGTTTAGGGTCTACCAGGACCCAGAAGTATCCTTCAACAGAGCCCTTTTGGTCCCTACTATTGGCTTTTCAGGCAGGGTAAAAGCTAGGCGAGGGTGGTGACGGGTAGTTGGGAGGTTGGGTAAGGTGTAAGGGTTTTTTTTGCAGGCCTTTTTTCCGTCTGCTAGGGTACCAGCTCAGGAATCTACCAAGGTATAGGGTTTAAGGTTTAGGGTTTGGGGGTTTAGGGCCAACATTCACAGAGGGCCTGCTAGCTGATCTACTGCGACTTAGTTTGGGCGCTCGACCCCGGGAAGCAAGACTTCCGCAGTGTCCTCAATGGGCGAGAAGCCCCGGTGCTTGCGATCCTCAGGAGTTGCTTCCATCATGAAACCCTAAACCCTAGAAACACTATTTCTTCGGGTCAGGGTCCCCGCAGCGACTGCGCAAGGTGACTGAAGTCCCAAGTCCCCAAATCCTAAGCCCCTTGCATCCTAAATCCCCTAACCCTCGGGTTTAGGGTTTTTGTGTTGACACCTCTTTTCCTTCGCCTGCAAGGCGGGTTTAGGGTTGAGGGTTTAAAGAAATCAAACAAACCTCAATGTTAAGAATCCTGAAAGGAACCCTAAACCCTAAACCCTAAACCCTGAACCCTAAACCCTAAACCCTAAAACCCTAAACCCTAAACCCTAAACCGAGGAGAATGCAGGGAGCCCGGCCAGCTGCATTGAGGAGACACCGAGATCAGCGAGGAGGCCCCTGAGCGCCAGTCCGGGGGGCAACACCTGCAGGAGAATCTATACTTGGTTTAGGGTTTAGGGTTTAGGGTTTAGGGTTTAGGGTTTAGGGTTTGGGGGTTTAGGGTGAAATGCATAACCATAATAATGAATACTGAAAGTCATCATCATCATCATACTACTACTACTACTACTACTACTACTACTACTACTATTACTACTACTACTAGTACTACTCCTACTACTCCTACTACTCCTACTACTACTATTACTAGTACTACTATTACTAGTACTACTGCTACT